GGCTAAAAATCTAATCACTTCTAGACTCATTTACTCACGCAGTGAAGCAATAAAAGTCCCGCAAATGTAATCGACCTCGTAATGCGCTGAGAGCGCTACGGACTCCTTCGAAAATTGCGCTCTTTTGTAAAATCCATCTGAAAATACTGCACAGTCGCGTGCGCAAAAGATACCATAAAAATGGCAGGTCTATCAATTGTATGCTCATTAGTTGTATTTTCTGGAAGGTAGTGTCAGCGGGTACGGCCGCAGGCGATGGTAATCTTCCCTGTGTATTAGTCGGGCGTTTCGCAACCGACCATAATTAGCTACATCAAAGGAGTTCGTAAAAAAACAAGCAATTTAGGCTCAAAATCGCCTTGTAGTCAGTCCTCAAAGTTGCTCAATGTCACTGTTTCATAGGTTGTGTGCTACAAGGAAAATAATTGTATCACGAAATTAAGCAAAAACCACGTAAAACAGCAATATAAGCGCGTGCACGTTCAAACCGAAACCAACCAAATTGAAGCAACCTAATGGCGTCTAGTGTGTGAGCGCCCTCTATCCGCCGGTGAGGCAACTATTAAAATGAAAAAGTCTATACAAACTCATGGAACATACTATTCTTTCATCCCAGATCATGACCTCGCTTTCATATAATGGCCAAATATATTTTTCTCACCGGCACGGTTTCCAACGTAGACATTGTTGGAAAACCGAGTTGTTTGAAATCAATAACTTCTTACTGCGAACGCGGTGCTTATTGGAATTGCAAAAGTCGTTGACTGTGTCAATAATAATTAAGTAACGCATAGGCTAACAGTGTGTGGCTGGAAGGTGAATGCTGTTTGATGGATAATCGACGTCTAAGTTTATCTATCTAAATCTGTAGAACTTTTAATAAAAGTTTATTCCCAGTAACAGCCAAATTTGGCGTTCCGCGGGGATATGTCCCGTTTCGTCCGGCATTGCTGCTCGTCTTTCAACAAGGCCTTCATCTAATCTTCAATCAGGTCTACGTCTCTTTTCAGAAGATTGCCTCATCTTTTGAGCAATTTCTAGCCCTCTGGACCGCATGAACTCGAGACAACGTGAAAGAAACAATACATTTATAAGATACAAATAAATACAAAAAAACCCACGAAAACTCATTTAAAACACCCTTTCTTCCCGATCCACGCTCATACATGATTGGAAGTAAGTCCCGCGGCAGTATAACATCTATTAAAATCTCTGGATTGCACCGCTTGACCCAATCTCTCAAGGAATCTTCCTAGAACTCTTGGTTTTTTTTCAACGCTTAAGGCTAATCTAGAAATAATATCTCTCGCGCAAATTACTTCCATAAAATCTCAGTTTGAGAATGCATGGCAGCCCCCATCAAAATGCTGCCTCCATCTAAATAATTTGACATACTCCAATAAAGCACTTAAAAAAAAAACTTTTTTTTTATTTCACTGCAAAACACAAAAGACGACCACGAAAAAAAGAAAATAAGTAAATAATAAAAGGGGCGCACACACAGTAATGCGTGTGCGTCACTTTGCTTTTTGACCAACATCCCATGGCTTTTAGCCTTAGCGTGGGTTCATTGCTCGCAGTCCACCCGTGCGACTAATATAAAGCATAGTCCTAATCTTCGCGGAGTTATTAAATTACATTAAGTATGCATTCATCTAAACATTCGTAAGCGGGTAAAAAAAGGCCCGACAAGTGAGACACCCGTACCAGGGGGGCGCCCCGGTGGCCAGACTGGGTTTGTTCGCTGTGCAACGAATACAAACTGTAACGCCTTGATATACCAAACGACATTACCGACCCATCAACAGTGTCTATTGGAACAGGGGTGTCTCCAAAGTACACTAAGCCAGGGCGTTCGCAGCGGACAAGATGACATAGTTACGCGCGGACCCTCCTCAAGCGTGTTTGCTTCACACATACGTATGCTTAGAACATGTGTGCAGAGAGTTTTCGTACGACCAGTGTGGCACCGCCGTAATTCAAGGAAGTCCCTCAGAGATTGTCTGCAGACTGTGTTTTATATGATCGTAGGCTGCTCTATACACTCAAAGCATGGCAGTTCGACGACGGAGTCATAGAGTGGCCCTTCGCAGATTTGGACCGCGAGGGTCTGGTAGCACAGAGCATCAAAGAGCCATTTCTCGGGTAACCTGGACGTCAGCGTACAGTGTTTACAGCGGCGAGGACCCGAAACACACTTGTTCGCTCGGGAGAAGTGCGTTTTGGCGTCTCGCCGCAGCGGGGCGCCTGTAACGTGGCTCTCCTATCATCCGTTGTGTGCCGCTCCACCTTTTGCATTTCGGCGGCCGCTCCTCGTGGCGCACATCTATACTTGTTGGTCGAAGAAGAATGAAAAGACACCTCATCCCAAAACGGGACGTTAAAAAGGAAAAAAAAAAAAAAAAAAAAAAAAACGCGAGAGAGGGATGCAGTGCGGCAAGTAATATACGCTTTCTGCATCTCGCCTTTAACGCGACATTAAAAAGACACTCCACCCTACGTGATCGGGATAACTTTAAAATATTTCGAAATGACAAAACAAAAGGCCCTATTTTTTCGAGGATGATAATCCCCGGAGAATGGAAACAGGGGGGACAAAGGACAAACACAAAATGTTTCGCTCCCATTTTTTCAGTAGCCGTATTGCTCGCTTGTCATTCTTACGCAAGCTGAAGCATAGCTCTGTACATATACGCATATACCACAAAAACACGCAGACACATTTTTTTTTGTAGATGCATTACTCTTTTGAAAACAGCGCCATCCGTCTCGCCCTTTAATTGAAGCCACGTACCGACAGAAACTGCCTCATTCATCATAATCTAAACCTTGAGACAAGGAGAAATAAAGTAACGGAGTTTTACTTCTTCTTGTCTCGAGGTTTAGATTAGGATGTTTTCAAACCAGCTCGCCTGCATAATTTCGCACCTGGTCATTCATTTCCATTCGACGGATTCATCAGTCTCAAATAGAACGTAACCCATCTGCTTGGCGCTTTTTTTAGTCTTTAAATACATTTCCTTAAAGTCATTTTGATACATATTTATAGGGGACGTTTGTTTAATCCTGTATATTTTTAAACAGACGTCCATAGATGCAGTGATTTCCTTACACCCCCCCCCCCCCCCCCCCGTTACGGGGGTGTAAACCCTCCTTGTTTACACCCCGAAGGCACCCCACTAATTCACAACCACTCCTCTATTTCGAATTCTTCCCCCCCACCGATCCTCTCCCCCCCCCCCCACTAAAAAAAAAAAATGTAGACTCCTCTCCCCCCCCCCCCCCCCCTAATTTCGATTCCCAGGGAAACCCCTGGATAGATACACGTTGCTTATCAGCTTTTGACCTTGTTGCTTTGCACCCTTTTGCGGAATACCCCTTTCACACTCTCTGTCTATGCTGAGTGCAAGTTCGTCTGCTACTTGCACAGGGGTTGTGGTGACGTCAGAACGCCGAACTCTGATTGGCTCGGATTGAAGGATAGTGGGTAGACCTCGAGGCAGCTTGCTTTGAGGTCTATCAACAACCTTTAATTAAAGCCAATCAGAGATCGGCGTCGTTATGACGTCATCACCACTCCTGCAAAAGAAGCAGACGGATTTGCGCTCCGCATATACTGCCCCTCTATGCAGTGTCAGGAAAGAATGAATGTATTAAATTAAATACGTTAATTAATTGAACGCGTTCAATTTCATTCATTGATTCATTGAATTAAAAATGATAAAATGAAGAGGTTGCACTGCTCTTCGACATTAATACGGACTTTTTTTAAAAAGGATTGATTATCGATCGTTTCGAAAGATACGTTTTTGTTTTGTTTTTGCATGCTTAAAGCTCTCAACCATTACGGCTGCCAACACGATTTATTGCGCAACGCACGTTAGACACACAAAGTTAAAAGACGTACTACACTGACCAAATTGCCCATCTTCCGCGGAGACGCCAGAGTTCATGTTAAGGCTGACTAACTTCCTTTTGTCTATAAACCTTTACACGAGAAATTGGATCTAGGGTTACAATACGTTCACAGCACATCAGCCAAGTTAGTCGATGGGTTCTTTGTTTTTCCGTTGTCAGGGAAGGTTTTTCCAATTTCTCAACACTGTAAGTGCGTCGAATCCACATTGGCAGCACGTACGCTAAGTACATTTCGCCGAGTCCGCAGTTTTCTTTGGCAATTCTAGTGTTACTTTATCATTTCGGGGGCATACAAATAAAAAGCTTTCCCAAACAGACTGTACGCTGTCATCCAAGAGACGATAAATAGATTTCAATCATATGTAATGTCCAATATTTTATATTACGTAAGTTTAAAAAAAGAAAGAAAAAAGGTTTAACATTAAGTTAGCCTGTCGGATGGAGCCAGCTCAGTCAGCTGCGCACATCTTACTTTCGAGCCCCGAGCAAAGTTCAACTATGTCATAAGAAGTCGACAGCAACATCGCGGAAGTTGTCGCGAGAAGAAAAACTCGCGAAAATGGGCGAGCTAAATTTATACGGCCTTTGTACTGAAGAAAAAAGAGAAGAAAAAAAACTTGTAAGCGATACTACTCAATATATACGCTGGCGAATTCGCTGTTTCACATCTCAAGCCTCAAAGAACCCAATACTCTCTCGTGCAGAAGTGAAAGACGCCTTGCGAAGCGTGCTTGGTGTCAGGACGAGACTTCCCTTAAAATCCCTTTCACATACAGCGAAGCCAACAAAGATGATGGACCTAGTCCCAAATCTTTCCTTCTTTTTTCTGGAGGTTGTTGTCGCCTTTGATACCGGCCTGAGTCGCCACTGAAAGCTGTTCGGCTTGAACAGTTTATTCGGGACTACGCTTCGAGCTTTAGGCGAAGTGCGACTATCTGACCGTGAAGCACGGGAGCAAACTGCGCGAGGACCCGCACTTCCTCCGCCGCGCGTCGGAGGTGCCGCGTCGCCAGCGCCGCCACCCAGCGCGCCCAGAGTTCGGGCCGTGCTCGGAGAGCGACCACTTCTCCGCTGTCGGCTCGATGGAAGGCAGCAACAGCACGCGAGGTCCGTTTGGCGAGGAACAGCGCTACGTGTACGCCTTCGCGGTACCCGTCCTCCTGGTCGGGTGCTCGCTGGCTTTCGTCTTCAACGCCACGATCCTCTTGTCCCTGCGCTGGCTCAGAAGACCCATGTATCCGACGCTCTGCTTCAGTCTGTCGCTGACCTTCGCTGACGCTCTGTCCGCGGTGCTCCTCGGAACCGGCCTGCTACTCAACAGCTACCTCCCGATCTACGGAGTGTCTCTTGGCCCCAAGGAACGCTGCATCGTACTCGTCCTCGAAGTCTTCAGGCTATCCGGCCTGCTGGCGTCCGCGTTCCACTTGCTGGCGATGGCCGTCAACCATTACGTTGGAATTTTGCGTCCTCTCCATTACGCCGCTATGGTCACGCGACGGTGCTCCGAGCTGGCCATACTTGTCTTGTGGATTGTTCCGGTGCTCGTCTTTTTTGCGTACTTCGCGGCCGTGCCAGGCGAGGGCTTCCAGTCGCCCAACTGCGCGGACGTGGGCTTCATTCGAAGAAGGGCGTTCAGCCTGACACTGTCAGCGTTGTTCGCTTTGCCTCTGATATTCATCACCATCATCTACTCGCATATCTTCGTGGTGATTCAGCGGCATCGTGCTGGCCTGGTCAGTTTTCCTTCAGCTAGACAGCTGCGCCGCAACGTGAAGGCAGCTTACACGACACTCTGGATTCTGGGCACGTATCTGCTCGGCTGGATGCCCGCCGTGGTCTTCATCGTTCTCACGTGCACCGAGTGCGCCTACCCCATCTTCTCGCTTCCGATGAAAACTCGGATGACGTTGGGAATCCTCACCAACGCTCTCATCATCTGCAAGAGTCTGGTGAATCCTTTCATTTATGCCGCTAGGATTGTGGAAGTGAAGGAGGCGCTGCACAGGATGGCTCATTGTCGTTCGGGCAATATAAAGAAGGACAACCGGCGCAGGTCGTTACTGGTGACCAGGACGGACACGCTGACGTCGAGTTTGCGGATGTTGCAACTTCGAAAAGAGTCCTGGGTCGTGACCAAGACAAAACCCGAAGTGTGTCGGTGTTCTAAGGCTTGAAGGTGATCGACGTTCACGAAGTGGTACTTTTGCTCATGGTTCACACTCAGAGGAATTTAAATCATACGTGATCTCTTCGACAAGAAATTGCGTGTGAGCTTGAAATTGTTTTCAACCTCCTGCCTTTCGAGGAGTTTTCTTGATGATCCGGTGAACCTGGAGAAGCCCGATCAAGTGTTTGTAACTTCTCCGGGTTCATATGGTTGTTGTTTGTCAACTTGTGATAAAGGCGCGTGAACATGGCCGTTTGTATTATGTGTTTGACTAGAAAAATCGCTTCTTTGTGCAGGTCATAATTATAGTTACGGTCATATTATGTTGACTAAGGAGAGCTGCGGCTTCACAGAAAGACAAGCCGCCATTAAAGCTGCTAAAGAAGGGTTCGCCACCGTAACATCAGAGCTTATAACTGCGCTCTTCATTTGATTTTTGAAACCGAAGCGAATAATATATATTTTATATCTTAATTTATTTCACGCGTGTAGCATCGCTTTTACTTGCAAGGAAAACAGAACAAGTCAGGAAATCAGCTCGCCATCTTGATTTTTTCGAGTTCCACATGATGCTTTGGTTCGCAAAATCTTTAACTGTTTTTGTAGTTCGGTACATCATGAACCCTCCTCTGTAAGTACCAAATACAAGAATGGTTATGATATAGTCTCTCTGACGACGACGTGTAAGCCTCTTCTAACACGGAGTGTGTTGTAAATAGATTTTAGAAGCAGGTCTGTTTTAAAAGATTGTTCACAATTACTTTTTTTTTTTTTGCAGTTAAGAGTATGTCTATTTTTTGTAGTTAAGAGTAGGTGTTGGTTTAAATTGTAAAATATCTGGAAACAAATCCAAGCATTAATCGGTTAGTCACTTGATTTGTACATACCCGCGAAAAAAAGTAACATCTACTGTTATCTCACTGCATCTAAAGAAATATTTAAGATATTTTATGCAGATTTTTATTTAGAGATAATAAAAATACTTATTAAGGAAGGCAATCAGGGTCATTCCATAAAAAGTTTTTTTGGGGGGAAGCCATACTTTGCAATTTGACTGGTAAAGTAAATATTTGAGGGCTTATAAATAAGTCAAGATACCAGATTTCACGATGTGAAAGAAACCGACACAAATATCGCGAACTTTGTTTATTAGCAGACTTTTAAATTGATTATAGTACCCCTTTCAAACGACCCTTATTTATACGCCATTCAGACGAGCGGCAAATTAGTACGCCCTGACTCGCCGATCCTTTAACTGCCTTCGCTACAAACGTCCTTGAAACGGTCACGTGGTAGGGACGTAGTTAACGAGTTTTAATTTTAGCTAACAAGAAAGTTTCGTGAGACCTCCCATTAAGCTCGTCCATTGGCGTCTCGTACCATCCCACGGTTTGCTTTAACGATACCGTTTTGCAATTTTACTACGGAATAAAATGAATTATAGTCCAAATACGTTTTATCCCCGCGCTTAATTAAGTTGACGTTCATGTAATAAAGACAACTGAGATCACCCAACATGGTCGGGGCGTAGCCTATTATGTTTACGTTTCTTGTTTCTTGATTGTTTCCTTGCCGTTCTTTGCTCCAGAGGTAGGATTTTCGGGAGATGTTCCGATTTTGAAACGTGTCCAGAGAACAGTGTCAGCTACCAGTACACATCCATCGAGAAATTTTCATTTGGGTTTCGTCAACTTTGTTGTCCCGAATTTTATTTATTTATTTATTTAGACATACTGCGGGCTGCCATTTGGCAGCCAAGGCAGGAGAGGGCACACAGGGCAACACACAAGAAGAAAACCACATTGCAGGCTAGTAAAAGGAAAAACATCTAGGACTGCACATCTAAGAAATAACGCTCTAGTGATGAGGCGAATTCCTGAACGGACGAGACATTGGTAATGTTGGCAGGAAGACTGTTCCATTCGTTAATGGTTCGTACGAAAAAGTAGTTTTTTAAACATTGGGTTCTGCTGTAAGGTACCACAATTGTGTTGGAGTGTTGCCGTTGAGTGTCCCGAAATAATAAATATTTTCCCGGTTGTCCCGATTTTTTTATTAAGTGTCTAGTTGGTTAGCTGAAACGACTGTATACAATGTGCAATTCACCCTGATAATAATTTTTTGGCATGTCACGAGCCGGCGTGACATTGTTACGTCAACGGCTCCACTACAAACCTATCCTTACCTCCTGAGCCATTTGGTCACCCGACAACTGCTGCCACGAAGGTGCTGCAAGAAATTGTGACCAGCGAAGCTCTAGCCAGTGAGCTCTACAGTATCGAGAAATACGGAGTTCTTCCGAACGCGATTTCAAGGCAGGAAACCGCGGATTCCATATAGAGACGCAATTTGGAATCTTGGATTCTGAGGCAGAGTATAGACCTTTTTCACAAGGGCGCCGCCATCTTGAAATATCGTCACTTCCAGTGTGGGCGAAAACGTTGTTTTGCCGTCGCCCCGCCAATAGAATGCATTTAAGAGATAAGAGTAACCGTCACCCATTCTCGTTTTGTCTCCCCTCTTTCTTTTTACTATTTACGGGTTGAAACGTTTTAATATCTTTTTGTCGCCCATACCGGATATGCCGTCTTGGCAGTCGGGGGCGAGAGTACGTGAAAAAGGTCTATAGTTAGACGGTTCAGCAAAAAGGCAAGCTTTGTAAGTCCCTTGAATGCCAAACGAACGCTCAGGCTTTTTTTTTCCGCTTGTCTCTGTGGAAGTGCAGCGATCGTTCTCCCACTCTAAAAAAATATGGTTTGTTTTTGTTTTTGTGGAGAAAAGGCACAGTTTAAGCAAACAAACACATGAGATGTTCCTAACCATTTCCTTTAACGCACGAGAGTATGAAACGTGTGCTTCATTATAAAACAAAACAAAAAAAAAAGAATACATATTTTAACGCTAATAAACACTCTGAGCGTACTCAGAGACACGTACATTGTCCCGGAAAGTGTCCCGATGTTTTTGCCATTTCCTATCCCGATTTTATCCCGATTTCATGCGCTAATTTTGTCCCGGGAATGCCAACTCTCTACTTATTATCTAATACAGCAATTAATGGCTAAGGAGTGATGACGAAATGTTCGAAATTCGCCACGCCCTTCATTTCTGAAGCTCTCCGTGGCTCTAGTACAACTTAAAATAGTCAAAATCAAAATATGCAACCTAAAATATTTTTTCCTGCAGAACGTGAAGAGTGCCACTCACGACTAACAAAAAAAGGCTCCCAGCGAATGAAGAAGGTCTAAATATGCAATTAGATTAAAAAAAAAAAAACAAAAAAAAAAACGATGTAGACAAGAAAAATGGCAAGTGGAACGTCACACTCATTGTCTCTGCGCGTTGCAGTTTTCTTAGTCTAATCGTATTCTAACCTTCATAATCCCCTAGGATCCTTTTCTTGCTCGCCGTGATTGTCTGTATCTGTCTTCCGCTAAAAAGTGAACTCCCAGACTTTTTTTTTTCCTCTTCTTCTTCTAATGTGTGTTTTGTAAATGAGCATTCGGTCACGTACCCGACTTCAGGTAAGAAAAAAAGTTTATTTATTCGCGGGATGTTTTGATGCCCAGTTGCACCTCGGAGGAAGTAAGTTTAAAGTGAACGAGAAATGGTAGTACGTTCGTGCAATCTTGAAGCTTTGATCTATACGATGCTTCCGGCTGGGTGAAAATTCTTTTCTAACAGCTCCCCCCCCTTTTCCCGCTGTCTTGCTCTTCAATCATCTATAACTTAGTAGGAGTTTCTGTGTGTTTGAGAGAAGGACGACTGCCCGGTTACCTTTTACTCCATCTTTTTTTTTTTTTTGTCAACTGCGCGGACAGGAGGTGAGTTTCTCTGGTGGCGACATTAAGCGTCATCGAGTGATCAATCACCGGACCTTTGCGCAGCTCGAACCACCGAGTGCTCGCCGAAATCGACCCGGATCGAGAGACCGATCCAAGTTCAACCAAGTGAAACCGGGTCTTATCTGAGTACGCAAACTTTGAAACCTCCTTTTAGAACCGCGTTGCGTTCGCCACCATCGATGGCTTGAAGATGGCGGCAATGTGCAAACGAACTGAAGCTAAGTAACCTAAATGTCTAAAACAAGAAAGTTTGCAACCGTAAGCTTTTTTTTTTCTTTGCAAAGCATTTGGGTATGCTGCCAACTGCTGCAATCTTTGAAGGCTGATCGACGTGGCTGAAAACATGTTTGGACTCCAGAAAACAGTCTGCGCTGCGGCACTGAACATGACGTAATCACGTTAAAGGTTATGCTCGGTGCCACAGAGCACACGTCCTTTTTTGTTTTTAAGGTTTACACTTATTTTGAGTACTTGCTCTATCAGGTGCTTTACAGCAAAGTAGACGCGCCGAAGTTTTTCGTAGAGCGAGAGCTGGTGCGCGGAGCTCAATTGCTTGCCAGCTGCAGGCACACAGGTCGGCCACCAACACCCCCTGTCACCTTGCTATTAACACTTCAAGTACGATTTTCGCTTTCATTCTTTATTCTTTCGCCCGAGGTTGCCGACATAATCCAAGCAGGAACCTCCACGGACTTGATTCTTTAGTTCTCTGGGGGTGTTTAGGGACTCTATAGTACCCGAAAGCTTGGAAAAAGGAGAGCGTGGCCTAAAACGCTTCTTTGCTTTGCGATTGGTTCCGCTCTCTCATTGGCTGGTTCGAAATTTGCAGTGAAACGGACCTCATCAAACGTAACAACACGTAGCACAAAAGAAGAAAAAAAAATTCCCGGAAATTTGAATTGTTTTGAAAGATATTAGCTAATTAAAAATAACAACAAAAAAAAAGCAAAACATTTTTATTTGCTCGTGACACAGTCGGAAAAAATGCAATGATTGGACCGTGGAGCGAAGCGGCTGGCCAATTGGCTGCAGGTTAGGCTCACGGCATGCCGCGCCGATGACTTGCCCGCATGGTCGGCCTCGTCGAAAAAGCCCCTTGCATCGTCGTTAAGTTTAGGCTTTGAACGCGATCGGCGTTACCAATGGATCTGGGCTGCTTATA